ACCCTTGATTTTTGGGGGCCCTGTGTCGTAGCACAATCAGCACAGGCTATGGGTCTGCTAGAGTTCACAACCAACCACCAATTGAGTAGAGGTGCAATTTGAAGTACCTCTAATGGTTTTTCCGGCGAGGGGAGGTGCAGCTGCACCTCCTTGCGCCTTAATAGGTCCGCCACTGGTGGTGGTGTTGTGATATCATTGGCCACATTTTTTAAAAAAAATGGTTAGGTTTCAATGGTCTGACCTCCAACGGTCATGACCAATAATTTTTTATAAATTTTTCTTAAACAACACGAATTGAAAACATTTTAAAAGGCTTTTTAAAAAAATATCGATGATGTCATCACTTTATTGTTGGCCGTTGGATATGCATTTGCACGAGATGATTCGTGCTCTTGCTCACACTTCATAATTTATTTTCTTCAAAAGCACATGCATGGGGCCCACAAAAAATTTGGCCATTATCCGAGTCTCTATTGTCTCATTTTGATTTTTAACTAGTATTTTCCCGTTTAACACTTGTATTATACATATATGTATGTATTTTTTTTATGCATTTCGGTTGAACTGCTAGGAATTGTCTATGCTAAGTGGAGCATGTTTGTTAATTGGGAAGAAGAAAGAAATAAGACATGTTGAATATGATGGCAAATTTTAGACAGGGTGGGTATGGCTGGTATGGGTGGTGGTGGGTTTGGGTGGTTGTGGATGACAGTGCAGGGGTTGGTTGCAGAGAGAGGAGAAAGGAGGAAGGATGAGGAGATAGGGATTGATCTTTGGAGAGAGTTGGATCTGGGCAAAGTTTTATTTATTTATTTATATTTAATTTAATTTAAATTTTAAAGCATAGTGAAAAAAGATTTTTATTTATTTATTTTTCTATTATACATATATTTTTTAATTAAATAAATAAATACATTATTTTATTATTTATTTAATTCAATTTAAATAAAAAAATGGGCCATTCACATAACACATCATCACTTGTGGTGAAAAAGACTAAAATAGCCCAGCCACGTCATCAAAACTGATAGAGTTATTAATGGAGATAACGGAAGGGGGTAAAGTGAAATACGAAATCATGGTCAAGGGAGTTAAGTGGGCCATTTTAACTTTTTTTTTTTTTGGGGAGGTTTAAAGTGAGATTTGACCGAAGTTTCAGGGGACACTACAGTAAATAAGCCTAAGATTTTATTGTCAAATTTTAACCATGGTAAAATATGCTACACCACAAGAAGGTTAAACTCCCCCCGGTTATGAACTTGTAACTCACATTTTTACAGCAAAACCCTAGGCGCGTATGGCGATCTTCTTCTCACATCTTTCTCACAATTCCCCTGCTTAAGTGGCTCTGCCTTCACCTGCTTCCGGCTTCTTCTGCAATGTGGTGAACACCATTCCTACCCTTTTCAGTATATACTCTCAAGGTTTCAGCAGGGCACAAGTTAACTTAAAGGTAAAATCCATCTTCCTTGTTCTTGTGCGCCTTGTTTCTTTTCAGTTGTTTTTCCCTTCCAATTTTTTGATGAATTGAGGTGAATATACACGAGTGGGTTTTAATATAGAAACAAATAGTAGAAATTTGCCGACTTGAATTGAACTGAATCAAGTTGCTTCGAGGTACACGTGTTCATTCATCTTTCAAAATGTAGAAAGTTGGAAACAAGAGGAATATTAGCTCAAGTTGTTGAAGTCTGAGACATAAATATTCTTTTTCTTAAAAGCATCAATACATGATTCGAAAGAAAAAAAAATCAGAAATTTCATATTGGGTTTGGCTGAGAGAATGAGTTTGAGTACAATTTCGTACTGGGTTTGGCTGAGAGAATGAGTTTGAGTAAAATTGCAGCTGGGTTTGATTAAAGTTACAGCTTGGGTTCATTACTTGGTTGATTGCTACAAAGAAGAAGTTGGGTGGAATTTAGTTTTTTTTTTTCATCAGAAGGAAAAAAAAGGAGTTATTGGGTTGGGTTTAAATTTTTGGGGCTGGGTGGAATTTAATCCTTTTTCAGGTTGGTTGATTGGAGAGGTTGCTGGGTTTTGTTTAATTGTTTTGGCTGGGAGTTTGCTTGAATATATATATGTTTTATCGTTTGGCTGAATTTCGTTTTCCTGGTTGTTTTGCCGGGTTTGAATGTTTAATTTTCTGAAAACATTTTGGTTGAATACGAAGAAGAGAATAGAGGTTTTTCTTAGAAGACCAAAGAATTTTATTAGTTTTTTTTCCGCACTGCATGAATGTCATTCTTTTCCATATGTACTGGTTCTCTTTAGAGCTTACACTAGGTGTTCTTTCTTTATGTATTTTAATAAATCTCCCTCGCATCATCGAGAAAATTACAGAAAAAACGGGATTGGAACGCTATTGAATCGAAGGTTGACTAGTTTAACATGTGAGCTAGTGTTGTGACTCTTATGGTCTAATGTGCATATACTTCAGTTGAATCCTTTAATGATCAGGATTTCTGTTAAAACCCTAGATGTATTTATTATCCATATGTAGTTATTGGGAGGTGCCTTCTCACGCTGAGCAGGTATTGTAGCCTCCTCAGTAGGTTTACTAGAGTTAAAATGCTCTAATCTGTAGGGATGAAATATGGTATGCCCTATGAAAATACTATTTATTGTTCTTATATGTCTATTTGATGGCCATAAATGTCATACTTATTTATTTACCTTAAACGTATTTTCTCTTTGGTTTAATTTCTTTTCACAAACAATAAAAAACATTGTATCAAGGAGAAGAATCTGATAGAAATTCCAAATTGTAGAATTTTGTCACTGGGTTTAATAGAATTATATTGTAAACGTATCTCACTTGATATTATCTGTATGTGTTTTCTTTATAGTTGGAGGCTGTTAAAATTTTGTATCCACGACAATGGGTTACCAATTTATCGAGTGGGATCAAGGATGGGACTATATACAGAAGGGGATCACGAAGCTAAAGAGGATTGTACAAGGATTATCAGAACCGCAGTTCAACTCAGAAGAATATATGAGGCTTTACACAACTATCTATAACATGTGTATTCAAAAGCATCCACATAATTATTCTCGGCAGCTTTATGACAAATATCGGGAGACATTTGAGGAATACATTACTTCTACGGTGTTGCCGTCTGTAATAGAGAAGCATGGTGAGTGTATGCTGCAGGAGTTTGTCAAATGTTGGGAAAATCATAAGATTATGATTAGGTGGCTGTCACGATTCTTTAGTTTTCTTGATGACTACTACATCGCTCAAAATCACACATCATATCCTGGGCTGAATGAAGTTGGACTTAACTGCTTCCGTAATATGGTTTATCAGAAGGTAAATGCTAATGTGAGATTTGCTGTACTTGTTCTTATTGGTAAAGAACGTGAAGGAGAACAAATTGATAGAGCACTGTTGAAGAATGTGATAGATATATTTGTTGAAATTGGAATGGGACAAATGGATGCTTATGAAGAGGACTTTGAAGGATACATGCTAATTGACACTCGTGATTACTATTCTCATAAAGCATCTAGATGGATTTGGGAGGACACTTATACGAATTACATGTTGAAGGCAGAGGAATGCTTGAGAAGGGAGAGGGATAGAGTTTCTCATTACCTGCATCCGAGCAGCGAGAAGAAGCTGGTGGAGAATGTGAAACATTGGTTGGTGGTGGTAAATGTAACTCAACTGATTAAAAAGAAGCATTCTGATTCTGGATCTAGTGCTTGGCTTACAGTTGATAATGTGGAGGAGCTTTCTAGGAAATTTATTGCTAATGTTATATTGGAACAACAAGTTCCTGCTCAAGGTTCAGCCTTGGTTCAACCGGCTGAAGATGCCGCAATGCAGGAATGAAATCAGTCACACTACTAACAATTGTGAACTACAGGTTACAAGTTGTGATCAGTACAAAGAGACTAGAGAGAAGTATAACTCTATCAAGATAAGAGGAAGAGATTTACAATGAATAAACATGCGATAATTGCATCAGATAATCTAAGTGTTTGGCTTGGATTGGGTTTGTCCTTCATATTGCTCTCTTTCTTTGATATTTTGTTTCTCTATTTTACTTTAATGAAGATAGATTGGGTCTGTTCATCTCTCTCCCAAAGAATGAAGATCAAAGGTGAGGACTAGTATTATTAAAACAAAAACGAAAACTAGGAATTGGAGCTCTTGAAGCCTGCTCTGCAAATACGTGGCCAGTAGACCTTCACACACATTTCCCATTTATGGCTAATTTCTCAACTTCTTTAACAGAATTAATAATAAAAATTAATTCAGATACCATGAATAAATTCATTTGTGTTTTTTTATTACTTTTGTGTATAATTCTTGAGTATAAAAATCACAAGAAGAGTAAATACGTATACAAGTATTTAAAAATGTACAACATCATGTTATATACAAGTATCCAAAACCTGTCACAACACATTTTTTTTACATCATTTAAAAAACAGCAAATCAAAGACAAATGTTTGTTTTCTTAGAGTTTACACAGCAGCCAAACAGAGCACACAGAAATTTTGAATGAAAAAAACCCAACATTAGTGAGGGACGTTCTATTTTCTGCTTTTTAGGTTTTTATTTCTAATTTTGTTTTACGGATAAAATTGGAATTTAGAATTGGGAAAAAATATTATTTGAAGAGATGACTGGTTTAGCGAAAAGAAAAATCCTATTCCTCCGAACCAAAAAAAAAATCCTAACCCTAATCCTATACACTTTGACTGTGAGCCAAGTAAAATCCTATATGGAGTTTCCCAAAACCCTACACCCACTCTATATATACATGGTCTCATATATTGTTCTGAATATCAATAAACGTGATCTTCATAAACCCAAAATTCTACCAAGTTAAGTCTTTACTATATTGTGAAAACTGCTAATCTTTTTCTTCCATATAGTGATATTCTTCACAGATCTTTCACACCCGGACTTCCGAGACTTGTTCTGCAAGGTAGTGAAAACCATTCCGATCCGAGTTGGAGGATATCGAAGATCTCTGTTCGCAACAATGGAACGCAGAATTATTGAGTGGGATCAAGGATGGAACTCTATCCAGGAGGGGATTATGAATATAAAGTGGAGAATTGCAGAAGGGTTACCAGAGAATCAAGTCAATGCCCCAGTATATGTTGATATTTACACCACTATCTATAACATGTGCATTCAAAAACCTCCCCATGATTATGCTCAGCAGTTTTATGACAAATATCAGAAGACATTTGAGGAACACCTTACTTCAACGGTGTTGCCCTCTTTGAAAGCGAAGCATGAAGAGTTTCTGTTGCAGGAGTTTGTTAAAAGTTGGGCAGATCATAAGGTTATGCTTCGGTGGATGTCCCGCGCCTTTTCATATCTTGATCGCTACTTCCTCGCTCAGAGAAGGCTTCCTGGCCTAAAGGAAGCTGCAATTATCTACTACCGCAATTTGGTTTACCAGGAGGTAAATGCTAACGTGAGAGAAGCTGCAATTCGTCTTATTGATGAGGAACGAGAGGGAGGAGAAATTGACAGAGCACTTTTGAAGAATGTGATAGATATATTTGTTGAAATTGGAGCGGGACAAATGGATGCGTACGAAAAGGACTTCGAAGGATACATGCTAAACGATACTCGTGATTACTATTCTCGTAGAGCATCAAGATGGATGTTGGAGGACAGTTACACGAGTTACATGTTGAAGGCAGAGGCATGCTTGAGAAGAGAGAAGGATATAGTTTCTCATTACCTGCATCCAAGAAGTGAGCAGAAACTGGTGGCAATAGTGGAACATGAGTTGTTGGTGTTTTATAAAACTCAACTGACTGAAAAGAAGCATTCTGATTCTGGATCTAGTACTTTCACGGGAGATGATAATGTGGAGTATCTTTCTAGGAAGCTTGCAGCTAATGGAATTTTGTAACATAATGTTTCTGCTGAAGAAGATGCTGCAAGGAGCCAGGCTTAAATGAATCGCATCAACAATCATGAACAATAGACATGTTAATATTTCTTGCTTTTTCCAGTTTTACCCTTTTGTTTGCATGTAATGGATTCAAAGTGGATTAATTCAGTTTTAATTTGCTTAGTTTAATGTATGCAACCATATATGGAGCATGAAATTTCTTACTTTTAGTTCCTCTGCCTTCTCTGTTTACACCGGGATTGCTTAATGTATTTTCAAGATCTCTTCATTAACTTTCTTAACGAGAAGCATGATGAGTTTATGTAGTGCAGGAGAGCTTGTCGAAAAATGGGAAAAACATAAAATTATGATTAAGTGGCCGTCACTCTTCTTCAATGATCCGATCCTTACTTAGAAATCGCTACCCGGGCCGAATGAAGTGAGACTATTACCTGCTTCCATGATTTGGTTCGGCAGGAAGTAAATGCTAATGTGAGAATTGCATTACTTGTAAGTGGGGACGGCAAATTGACAGAGAACTATTGAAGGATGTGATGGATATATTTGTTGAAATTGGAATGGGACGAATGGATGCTTATAAAGAGGATTTGAAGAACTACATGTTGAAGGCAGAGGAATATTTGAGCAAGGAGAGGGATAGAGTTTCTCACTACTACATGAAACCAAAGTAGCGAGCAGAAGCGGGTGAGGAAAGTGGAATGTTGGTGGTTTATGCAACTCAACTATCTGAAAAGAAACATTCTGGTTCTGAATGTCATGCTTTTCTTCGAGACGATAAGGTGGAGGATGTCTTATTTCTAGGAAATATGTTGCTGCTGAAAGTTCAACTTTGGTAATGTTTTGTGCGCAATGGAAGCCATAGTCAAGTCAACAATACTTGACTAAGAAGAAGAAAATGACTTGTGCGTATTTGGAAGGTAAGGAGCAAGCAAAACGCCAATAGACTATGAAAAATTAAAAGAAACTTGGTGGGAAGGGTGACAGCAATTCAGATCAAAGTACCCCTGTTTTTTTTAATTTTTTCCAACCAAACTACCCAATTCCCAAGTAAGCTATTCTCGTTTATGGGTCCCTAAACTTGAAAAATCAACCCCAATAAACACTCCATGATGACACAAAGTTTGGTTAAACTTACAAGACACCCATTTCTTTATATCAAAACTGAGTCTCTCTAGTCTTGGTCTTTACATCTCTTGAAAAAGACAGGTACAATTAAGCATCCCAACAACTTTAGTCTAGGCGGCAGAAGCTTCAATCTCTTTTGGGTCTTTCCATCTTGGAGTCATCTTCTAGGGTGTCCAAAGACTTTTTCCCATAGACTTGCTTTTCCAAATTTTTATATAACCTGTCTTTATATATGTATTTGTAACAGGCTGAGGAAACCCCTCAGAGTGTCTTTCTCATTGCCAAGCTATGCATGCCTTCACCTTCTTCATCCTCTTCTTCACTTCCATCTTTCTTGAAACACAAGCAAGCAATGAAAACTGCGCAACTATGTGCACTCATGGGACTCCCCATATTCAGTTTCCTTTCCATGTAAGAGGGCAGCAGCCTGACCATGGCGGTGACCCTATTTATGGGCTTGACTGCAACAACACCACCAAAACTACCACAATCCACTTCCAGTCTTATGGTGACTTGGTCGTCAAATCCATCTCGTATGACATGAAAAGGCTTGATCTTCTCGACCCCAAGAGTTGTGTCCATGAAGTCTTTCTTAACCTCAATCTCTCCCTCACCCCATTTCAATATTACTATGTTGTGAAGGAGCACTCATATCTCAACTGTTCAGTTAGGCTTCCGCCTTCTTTTTTCTCCGAAATCCCCTGCTTAAGTGGCTCTGGCTATCATGTTTACACTGTACCCCCTTCTTTGGCTGTCCCAAATTCTTGCAAGGTTGTGAAAACAGTTCCTATTCCTTTCGGGTATAGTCCTTATCTATCTGACAATAGTTTTGGTCTTGGATTAACTTGGGGCTCAGTTGGGGATGGACAAGAAGAAACAGAATCCTTCACCATGGCACCTGTGAAAGGTAAATTCCATTTCCCTTTTATTGTCCTCTCTTTTCTTTTGCCTGTACTTTTTTCAATTATTTTCTTCCCTTATAATTCTTTATTTAATTAATGGACGAAATTAAAGTAGAAACAAGAGGGATATTATTGTTCATCTTGTAAAACCAGAAACAACCCATATAAATTCTATTAATTTGATCTAGTCATAAGTCATAACAAACAAAGAAAAGTTTTGCACTTGGGAGAATAATCTAATCTAAAACAAGATTCCAAACCGGACAACTTTTATTAAATTGACAGAAACACATGCTCCATTTCCCACTTGTCACGTATTCCTTTGGCTTTTATGTGTTTACTTTGTCTTTGATTCATTAAAAAAACACTACTTGGGACTTTAAATATATGATGACCTAGGACGTGCTAGTCAACCAAAGAACACAAGGAAGCTTCCCTTCTAGTCACTTTTGACCAAATCAATGTCGTATATTATCAACCATCAAGGTGTAAGAAAAAGCCCTGCTTAGGTGACTAGTTTAATGAACTTGTATTTTACAAAGAAATGATTTCTAATACGTACTTCTGGTTTGATGTGTGCAGTGATATGTATAATCTTGATTTTCACGGCTGCGGTACTGAGAAAATTAAAAAGGCAACAACATTTTATTGAAGGGGAGGATCAAGTTCAGGTTGAGAAATTATCGGGAGACTATAGACCCCTTAAACTTGAAACATGCTGCAATTCCGATCTCAAGCAAGGAAGCAGTCAGGGTGAAACAGTTTTGGACATTAAAATCATGAAGCAACACAAAATGCAAGCTATGTAATAAATTATTATGATTTTATTTTATTTTTAGATTTATTCAGACGAAGAATTCAAGAGAAATGTAGCATCCACCTTGTGTACTGGGTTAAATACTAAGTTGGATGACCTTTTTTGTCTTTTTACACAATAATAAAACTTAAAAGCTTAATGATTTAAGTATTGGGGTGAACAAAGAAAAGTGTGGGGTTTAAATAGAAAAACTCTTAGTTATATACACATTCTTAGCACTAGTGTTATATATAAACACTACACCATTTAATTTCTATATAAAAAAAAACCCAAAAATCAACAGCTGGACCCTGTTGGATTTAATTTTAATTATTTTATACACGGCAGCATAACATAGCACACAGAAATTTTGACTGAAAAAAAAAACCCCCAACATTAGTGATGGACGTTCTGTTTTCTGCTTTTCATGGTTTTTCTTTCTAATTTTGGTTTATTAAATTCGAATTTAGAATTGGGAAAACAAAATTTATTAGTTTAGCCCGTTAGTTTATGGGCTTGGTACGTACTTTTTCCCTTTCTTAATTTTTCTAGGAAAGGAACACCTGTGTATACTTTCCTAATCCTAATCCTAATCCTAATCCTAATCCTTTGACCACAAAAAATATTTTATAGTATGAGCCAAGTAAAATCCTATATGGAGTGGGAGTTCCCAAAACCCTACACAAACTCTATAAATATACATGGTCACCCTGGTTATGAATTTGTCTCACATATTGTTCTGCAATCCATCTGTTTGAAAATCAATAACCCTGATCTTCATAAACCCTAAATTCTATTAACTTAAGTGTTTACTATATAGTGATATTCTTCTCAGATCTTTCACAGGCCGGTTCACGCGAGACTTGTTCTGCAAGGTAGTGAAAAGCATTCCGATCACAGCCGGAGGATATCGAAGATTTCGGTTCGCAACAATGCAATTCAGAATTATTGAGTGGGATCAAGGATGGAACTTTATCCAGGAGGGGATTATGAATCTAAAGAAGAGAATTGCAAAAGGTTCACCAGAGAATCAAGCCAGTTCCACAGAGATTGTTGATATGTACACCACTGTCTATAACATGTGCACTCAAAAACCTCCTTATGAATATACTGCGCCCCTTTATGACAGATATCAGAGGACATTTGAGGAGCACATTACTTCAACGGTGCTGCCCTCTTTGAAAGCGAAGCACGACGAGTTTCTGTTGCAGGAGTTTGTCAAAAGCTGGGGAGATTATAAGGTTATGCTTAGGTGGATGTCTCGCTCCTTTGCATATCTTGATCGTTACTTCCTCGATCGACGATCACTTCCGGGGCTAAAGGAAGCTGCAGTTAATTACTACCGTGATTTGGTTTACCGGGAGGTAAATGCTAACGTGAGAGAAGCTGCAATTCGTCTTATTGATAAAGAACGTGAAGGAGGAGAAATTGACAGCGCACTATTGAAGAATGTGATAGATATATTTGTTGAAATTGGAGCGGGACGAAGGGATGCTTACGAAAAGGACTTCGAAGGATACATGCTAACCAATACTCGCGATTACTATTCTCGTAAAGCATCGAGATGGATTTTGGAGGACAATTATACGAATTACATGTTGAAGGCAGAGGAATGCTTGAGAAGGGAGAGGGATATAGTTTCTCATTACCTGCATCCAAGCAGTGAGAAGATGCTGGTGGAGACAGTGAAACATTGGTTGTTGGTGGTATATGCAAATCAACTGATTGGAAAGAAGCGTTCTGAATCTGGATGTGGAGGTGATTGCCTTACAGTTGATAATATCGAGGAGCTTTCTAAGAAGTTTATTGCTGCTGTAGTATTGGAACAGCAAGTTCCTGCGCAGTGTTCAACCTTGTTCCAACAGGCTGAAGATGCTGCAATGCAGGAATGAAATCAAGCAAACACTACTACCAAATTGTAAACAATAGACATGGTAAATTTGTGTGGTTTTTATCATTTAATTAATCTTGAAAAACATTTTTTTTCCATTTTCTTTCACATTGTTGAAAAGTTTTTAATTCGATCCTTACCTGGAAAAACTCTGCCAATGTGATCAAATTGACAAGTACCTTGAATTGCTAATCAGAGTTGTTGCCATTGTGAATTTGTGACAATAACTTGCGTTTTGGGTACAAACCCCATCAAAAAAACACCATACCCAATACCAAAAAAGATGGAGGATCTTTGTATATATGGCCACTCTGAAAAATATCCCATTGAAGCATTCCGTCGAACAGCATGCAGGCAAAATCCAAACTAACCCAGACATAACATACTCTAACCAGGTAAAATCTGACTGAAAAACAGGTACATGATCGCATTTTCGGTTTCCTCACTAAAAAATAAAAAAAATCTTGACAGTAAATGGGTACAAATATTAACCATCGGAAATGAATCAATTCCTACTTGTAGTTGAATATTTCCCTAAAATTGAAAAAACACTCCATGATGACACAAAGTTTGTTTAACATCTAAACCTTTAATCTGATTCTCCGGTTGGAATATGAATAAGTTGGAGTGGCTGAAGATTCTTGCAGTCTGGATGCATTCTCCCCCTCCATGGGTATTCTGGACAGAGAAGAGAGACAGATAGAAAACTTGAGCAAAATTCACCGAGAAACTAAATAAAACAGAAAATTGATCGAAAATTTTTAAAGGAAAAAAGAAAAGAAACAACAATGCGAATCAAGAACTTCAATAACTTTATTTACAACTTCAATAACTTTATTTACAGAGAAAAAGAAATTTACGAAGATGATATCCACTAAGCCATGCATGCGCTGACCTCAGGTAAGGATTAACGACCTCATGCACCGTGGAATTTGGAATCTTCGTCGTTTCGGGTTGACTAGGGTTGGCACTACTGGCGAGTAGTAAGCGAAGGTCCTCGACCAGTTGGGTTAGAGATTTCTCCATATCCTCGAGCTTATCTTGACGATGGTCCTCCTTCATTAATTGATTTCGTCAAATCGACCAGTTGGGTTACAGATTTCTCCATATCCGATATCTTGTGGCGTGAAAGTGAAACGTCAAGGCATGGTCGTCCTGAACATCATGACTCCAGGTGAGCTCAACGGCTGCGGAGGGTCCAGATATATTCCCATCCCCCGTTATAGTGTTGCTAAACGAACCATAAAATTAACTGAGTACACCCTATTACCAAACTATTTATTAAATTACTAATTTACCCTAATATAAAATGACTAAAAATGATATATTGAATTGTCAAACCAATGTAATTTTAGTAAGTGCACCTTACTCCAACCCTAATTGAATCTAAGCGAAATCCACCAAAAGTTAAAGAGGTGTTCGGCGAGAAGCCACCGAAGGGTTAAAGAGGTGATTCGACAGGAGGCTGCAAAGCATATAAAGAATCTGTCAAAAACATTTAAAAAGTGGGAAAGGTATCCTAATCTATATTATGCAAATCTGGTTTTAAGTTTTAACCAGCCAACCCAGTACAAGAGATCTTTTGAAGACCACCCATCAAATCATGTTATAAACAAGATCACCGAATAAAATGGTTCTTTCTGAATTAAAGATGAGGGGGAGGGAGGAGGGAGGGGGGTGAACTTAACCATACCCTCTGAACTTTGACTCGCTATACCCCTTACCTTATGTTCTTTTTAAAGTTCTTTTCATGAATTCAAATATGAGACTTTTGATGCTTCAAATGTGTAGAACCCAGTTCAATCCTTGTTCATATTGAAAAAAGTAATATATAGGAATTGATGGATTCTGAAGCAACTTGGAGCTGTGGAGAACTTTGATGAAAAATTAAAGTGAAAGGAATCCACATGGATATGGTTATAAATACTCAAAACCAACAAAATGGGAAAGGAATATGTTATCCCAATATTCACTCATGACAAAGATGAAGATGAAAAAGATGAAAAGTAGTGTTTTCGGCAGCAAGGTGGGTTTGGTGGTCTAATAGTGTTTAGGTGTTATGTGATAGTGCATTAGGGTGTACAAAGGGTATTTTTGGTAGCTAAATAAGGTGTACTTAGTTAACTTTACATTCTGATTAAAATATTATAGTGTACTTAGATCATAGGGTGTACTTAGTTAATTTTAGGGTTCGTTTAGCAGCACTTTAGCATGACATAATATACAAAAAAATTTATAGAGCCTATTTGAAGAGAAAAAAGCAAAAACATAGTCACTTTGTCATTTTTTCATTGGTTCTTCAAAAAATTTCACACACTAATAACCAATTAGAAAGTGACAAGTGTCTAGTTTTGGATTTTTCTCTTCAAATAGGCTCTATAAGGGTTTTTGTATATTATGTCATGTTAAAATGGGCTTATTTATGGAAGGCACTATTTTGAATTCTAATACTAAGGCCATCTTCAGTCATGGGCCATATGCCCAATATAACCCTAAAATAATGCAAAACTCATCTCCAACCACGGGCTAAAAAAATTTTGGCCAAATTTGGAGGGCCACATTTGGCCCTTTAACCCTCCAACTAGGCCAAATGTAGCCCAGCTTTGGCCTATACCAAATTTTTTTGTGGGCTCAGCGCATGTGCTTTTTAAGATGAGAAAGTATCATGCGTAGGCAAGAGCGTGAAACATCTCATGCAACTGCAGATCAAACTGTCAATATTAAAGGCACGTTGACATCATCGATGACGTCAGCTAGCCGTTAGGTTTTTATTTTTATTTTTAATAACCTTTTTAAATGTTTTTTAATTTATTTTGTTTATATATATATAATTGGTTTCTGATCGTTGGAGGTTAGAACCATTAATTGAAAAGTTATTTTTTATTTTTTTATTTAAAACTTTTTAAAATGTTTTAAATTTATTTTGTTTTAAAATATATATATATATTAAAAAATATTGTCTCTAAATCGTAGTTTAATTAAATTAAACAATACATAGTTGTGGAATATACGAGTGTTGTACCATAGTTTTTCTCAAAATAATAAAATATGAATGACCCTAAAATATAGCCATGCATGGTTGGAGATGGAAAAATTTAGCCATGCACTATTCTTTAAAAAATTAATATTTTGGAGGACTAATTTTTTAGCTATGGACTACATTTAGCCCTATGACTGGAGATGACCTAAGTATCTTATTGCACGTTGAAGTCGAAGATATACGATATCTTATTGGTCTAATGGAGAATTTTGAATTTTGGGCGCAGGCAGATGCTTTGGCAAACTTAGGACATGATCTTTAACAACCATTTGTTTAGGGAATATTCTTGGTTTTTTTTTCTTTTTGTGTCATAAAACCACAAGTATTATTTGAGACCATTTCTCTGTAAATTACAAATTCTTTGAAGTATAGCAAACGAAGCAAGAAGCTGTGCCTACATCTTGATGCCTATAGATGACAAGTTTAACATCACTCTCTAAAACAAATTATAATTCATGTACTTCTACTGGTTCCAGCACATAGCAAGAAGTTATATGAAGAGTCCAACACTTCAATCATGCAAGATACTTGAACATGTTATGATTTTCCTTGTCCCTCTCCAGGTAGTCACGGACGATGAGATCTTCAATCTGCTTCTTAATTGCTCTCATGTCAGGCTTGAATTTATGTCTTAACTGCTCAACACACTCCACAACTAATTGCTGATGACCCAAAACCTTCCGACTCTTCATAATCCGCACGATTGCAGCATCAATAGCATATCGCCTGAATCTGTCAACATCTTGGATCACCTCCTTCCTTTCATCCACTGGTGGGAGAGGAATCTTAATTCTTCTCATTCTGTCAGTGAATTTGGAGTTGAACACAAAGTTGTCATTTGGCGAGATAGTCTTTGCATTAGGCTCTTTAATAAGGATCTTGTACTTGGCACATGAAAGCGAATGAAGGATTCGAACAGCTGCGTCGTGGGTAAGGTTTAACTTACCTAGTATTTCTGAATAGCTCAATTTATCAGCGCTATTGAAAAGTAGCAGGATAGCAGCCTGATAGGTTGACACAACCAATTCGATTTCTTTTGGCTCAAACTTGCCAATAATGTTGCAAGTGCCCAATGAGTAAATCCATTTAATTTTTCTGCATTTCGTCTTTGTTTCATAGAATCCCTTGAAGACTTCAACACATTTCACCATCTCTGCAGGAAGGCTAAGATCAGATGATTTATAACTTGGCCAGAAACCAGTTGTAAGAACGGTGACGGTCAAATCCATCCCAGGATTTACATTTGGGTTACTGTGAAGATACTCCTCAAAGCTGGTCTGATTATCCCGAGCCAATGTCAAATCTGTGACCATTCCCTCCATTTTTGAGGTGAACTGTCCACCAAATTGCTGTTTCATCTTTGTTAGAATACTTTTTTCATGTTCCTTGCTGGCACTCTGATCAAAAAGTAGCCGGCGAGAAAGTTTTTTCCTGTAGAATTCTGCAAAAAGGTCTTTGTCACTGATATAAGCAAGCAAGTTAACAACCTTTTCAAGCATTCCTTCTATGGCCTCATCGCTCAACTTCTGGCTCCCACTCTTTTTGAGGATATCATCACAGAATGCAGCAAGTAATTGAGCACTTGAATTCCCGGAAACAGATTTATTGCAAAATCCATCAAACGCCTCCCTAAGAGCCTTGTGAAAGATATGGTTTTTTATTAAGAAATCTTCGAAATGTGCCATGTACTTATCATGAAGCTCGATCATTTTTGTGACAAGGACCTGTTCCAGCATGCCAGAAGCTCTATCAGAAGCCTGGTTGTTTGCTGCATATTCAGCCTGTTGGACCAAGGTTTTAACTTCAGCGCTAACTTTCTGTTTAAATACATTAGCAAGAGGTTCAAACAACTCATGTTGCACTTTTTCCACCAGCTTTTGCTCACTGCTTGAATGCATGTAATGAGAAACTCTAGCCCTCTCCCTTCTCAAGCATTCCTCAGCCTTCACCAAGTGATCAAAACAAAAATCCTCCAAAAGCCAACTTGATGCTTTACGAGTATAGTATTCACCAGCATGTCTCAGCATGTGTTCCTCAAAGTCCTCCTGATAAGTATTTATTTGTCCCATTCCAATTCCAACAAATACATCTATCACATTCTTCACTAGTGCCCTGTCAATCTGCTCTCCAGCACGTTCTTTATCAACAAGACCAATTATGGTAACTCTGGCATTAACATTTATCTCTCGATAAACCAAATCTCGGAAGCATGTAAGTCCAACATCATTTAGGCTAAGAAGTGATCTCCTAGGAATGAAGAAGCGATCAAGAAAATTAAAACAGTTTGACAACCACCTAATCATAACTCTATAATTTGCCCATCTTCTCACAAGCTCCCGCAGCATAAATTCGTCGTGTTTCTCTCTTACAGAGGGCAACACCGTTGTGGTTACATATTCCTCCAATGCCTCCTTATATTTATCATATAGCTGTTGAGAATAATTATGAGGCGGCTTTTGGGTACACATATTGTAGATAGTTGTGTAAACGTTCATATATTCTACCGAGCTGAACTGAGGCTCCGGTAATCCTTCTAAAATCCTCTTTATTTTTGTTAACATACTCTGGATATAGTCCCATCCTTGATCAAACTCGATAAGTTGGCGACAAATTCCAGCTATAATGAAAGGATATGCAACAACATGTCACGGAATCTGCTATGGTTTCTTGACAATATATCAAAGTGAGTGAAAATCAAAAGACCAAATGTTTTTTAATGTCTCCCCATCTTGTATCTCTCTTGAAATTTTGACATGATACAAGTTCCAAATAAGAATTCCTCCTCCCCCAAACACTCATAGTTTGACAGGAAATAGAAATGAAAAGTTCTGCAACTTGAAATTTTGCATCAGATTTCTTCCTAGTACAACATTTTGCATGCTTGTTCTGAACTGGATAAATTTGATCAAACAAAAATGAAAGAGAAATCTATCATAATTACAAATTAGTCAATTGGAAATTCATGGAAAGAAGTATACCTGAGATCATTGCTATGAGGGAGGAGCTGACGGCTTAGGAAGAAAACCCAGGAAGTGAAAAATCGAATGGCTTCGTGTAGAGGCCGAGAAGCTTCGTGAACCCTCTTCTTCAATGGGCTCTCCTCTGCCACTCCAATTGTCACCAACAGCTCTCTCTCTCTCTCTCTCTCTCTCTCTCTCTCTCTCTCTCTCTGTATCTACGCAGCTGGAACAAGTGCTCTAAATAAAAACCCAAAAGCAAAAGCAAAAGCAAAAAAGCAAGAACGAGGACTTGAGAAATGGAAATTTCTGTTATACTTCTGCACAAAACTGAAGTTTGCTCAGGCCATTTTCTACGAATTTGCCCCAACCTGACCTGACAAAGTCAACAACGATATAAACAGAGTCCAAAGCTTCAAAGCAAAGCAACCTGCACTAACAAGATTGGGCCTATACCTTCCTTACGGGGTTAGGCAATTGGTTACACAAGACTTTCAAAGGGCTTCTTTGGATACCCCTTTTGCTATATTTTAAAATTCCCATAATTTTTCTAGACACCCAATCTCATTTTCTGATATGCCAAAGGTAACACTAGAAAGAAAAATAATAATAATCATATTTTGGTTCTTAAACTTGGAAATAAAGAAAAAAATAATAAAGAGAGAAGGAGGGCAACCACCCTAATTTATCATCATCTTCCTTATATTTTTCTAATGTAACACAATTTGCATTATGCACATTAGAATATCATCTCACGAATGCATTGTTTGTTCATGTGAATTCAATTTTATTTTTTTAATAACATGATAACTATCGTATTTTAGTTACGTTATTCCGATGGAGCATAATTCAATTTACATATTAATATTCTGTCTTAGAAATATACTATCCTCATTTATTTTTCTACACCAGGTTATGTTCACTATCTTGTTAGAAAAATATGGTCAAATATGTTCTAAAATGCAAAGTGAAAACCATTCTACTTATCACTAAAGAAAACTCTGATGAATAAACCTTACACTAATTAGGCAGGGTATCTAATTTAAAATGGAAGGATTCAACTTATGAGGAAAGAAAAAAAATGAATAAATCTTGCGAGGATTCAACTTATTATCACGCTCCAATATGGGTATGTTCAGTGACGTAGCTTGAAATTTTGTTAAAGAGAGTCAACCTTAAACAATTATGATAATCACGTTGTAACATTGGATGAAAATTAGAGCCCCAATGCCCAAAAAACAAACCCTCATGCAAGCTACCTAAAAGCAAAAAGTAAAGGTAATAAATCATATTTCTAAATTATGGAATCATCCATAGATCTATTTTAATAACTTAAGAGAAGGAGTTCTCATAAATACATGATATCTAAACTATAGAACTTATAATATGAAATAAAAAAGATGAAAACACCATTTATGATATAGAGATGCTACAAGTAGAAAAGTGTCAACCATAGACAGGTCAAGAACACTCTAAAAGAGTCAAAATGTTCTTTCAACGAAGAAACTTAAAATGGTAGAAGGGCCAGCTGGCCCTCCTAGGCCTTAGCTGGCTCCGCCAATGGGTACGTCACAACACCACATCTCATTGAAAATACAAGGTTACAATGTTTGAGAGATCATACACAATAACATGTTGCGCTCTCAATAGACGTAAGCAGTGGCGGACCTATTAAGACGCAAGGAGGTGCAACTGCACCTTCTCTCGCCGGAAAAATCATTGTGGGTGCTTCAAATTGCCCATTTGCTCAGCTGGTGATTGTGCACATATTACCTTATTTCCATTTTCAACATTTAAGTAAATGTCTTTGTCCTTTTACTTTTATTTATTTTTATATTACTCCATTTACTTAAGTTTACAATGTAAATAAGGAAGTATCCCCCATTTGGATTCAAATAAAAATACTAGAAAATCAAATTCCCACCAAATCAAAATATGAAAATTCAGTTTTAGTGCAAAATACGATTTAAGCTAAAAATCAAATTCCCCCATTTGGACGTAAGGCGTATTAGGTTTAAAAAACAAGTTGTTTAAGACAAAAAGCTGAAACAGAATTCATTAATTTAAACAAAAGCATAATTATTCAAATGTCACAAAATCAGAGTACATAAAACAAATTATGAGTCTCACAGAAAACAAAATAGATTTCATTGTTGTCACCACTATTATATCCTTTCACCGTGTCAACTCCTCAAGATCACCTGCATCAAAACTGGATTCCAAACCAAGCTAAAATCGCAATAGGATAATCACAATAGTATCTTTACCTTTTGAAATAAAAAATGCAGAATTGTTCATTAGGTGGGGGACAAAAGGGCTCTTTATTAACTTATAAGATAAGATTTTCCATTATTTAAAAGGAAAAAAAAAAACCTAAGTCAATGACCAAAAGAAAAAAGAACTAGGGAGCTTTTACTTTAAGACACTATATAGTTTACTAATTTGGAAGATAGGAATACAATTTTACCTAATTAATATAAGACCAAATACCAAAAAGTAACACCTATTTTTACTAAAATAAAATTAAAGAACATAAAAATTACAACATATGCAATTATATTCAAATTTCAGTATTTAGTTTTATACAAAAAATAACAGTTGTCAAAACGACATAAAAAAATCCAAAACTGAACCAGAAACGACGTCGACTCAAATTGAATCCTAACCCCTTCGCGCGACCTTTCAACTTCACCTCCATAAACCTCTTCAACTATTCCACAAAATTCCCCAAAATCTCATACAATCGTTCGCATCAATGGCGACGACCACCAACAAAGACCACCAACGATCGAAGCCGATTCTTTATTCTCTTTTTCGACAAAAAAGGGTAAGAAAATATCCACACTCTTCGCATTTGATATCGACAAATATGCCATCATCATATATAAATCACTATCTGTTTCTAGTAAACAACTCGAATAACCGGGCAGCGAATACCATAACGTGAAACTACCCAACTGCAAACCCCTAAACCTTAGACACAAAGTCTTCGAAACATCAACCATGGATGACTTTTCTGAAATTGAAAACATGATGGTTTCCGACTTATATGTGCATTTGGCTATGACACAAAACTCCATTAGCCTTGAAAATGCAAACAAAACAACAAATAAAAACATAAAACAATTTAAATCAGTAAATAATGTAGATGAGCAATTGTAATATTCTCATAGACTTGCAAATATTAGTCTGAAATCAAATTTTAAAATAAGAAACTGCCAAAAATTGCAACAAACGGAAGCTGCAGTTCAGTTTATGACAAAACATATGCTCAAATTTGAATAGAAACCAAAAGGAAAAGCCATGTTCAAAGTACTAAAACTAAGTTCAAAATACATTCAAATTCATAAGCAGTTGTAACATTATCATACACTTGCAATGCAATTTATGAAATTAGAAACTGCACTGCAGTTTCTGCTAAAAAATTGTAATAAACAGAAACGGCAATGCAGTTTATGACAGAAAATCAAAACAAATTCAAGTTCATAAGCAATTGTAACATTATCATACGCTTCCAATGCAGTTTCTACTAAAAAACTGCAACAAACAAATGTAGTTCATGACAGAAAATCAAAAAACTTCTAATAGAAACCCAAAGGAAACCACGATCAAAGTACTAAAACTAAAGACCAAAAACATATAAGTCGATATAAATGAAAAAAGGTTCTAAAGCACTCATACCTCAACACCTAGGACTGCCAATAATCTCCCCAACCAAACAGCAGCTCAAAATCAAATCTAATCACAAAACGAAGAATATAGGGTTTAGCATGCAAATCGAACGAAAATGTAGCAGAAAATAATGCCACAAAACTGAGCTCAAAATACCCAAACTAAGGAGAATAGATATCGCCCAAAACTGAACTTTATTCCGCATGCAAATCGAAAGAAAAGGTAGCAGAAAAAAGAAAACTAGAAAAACACAATAAAACGAAGAAAATCGAACGAAAACAAACCAGAAAATCGAAGCTCCAATCGCAGAACGAGAATTAAAAATCCAAAACCTCCACACCCCAGGAAAACGAAAGAGAAAGACCAGACCAAATCGCGCGTATTTTAAACAGCCAGAGATAAAAGCGTCATTTAATTTGTAAGGTTTAAAGATGGGCCAGGCTTTTTAAGAAGAAAGGTAGCCTTGTCTTTTCAGTTTTTATTTTTAAGCTGACCCAACGAATTTGGGCCTCCTCTTTAGTTTCATCCAAAATAACAATTATTTCTTAGGTATTAAAACCCAAACCAAAATACCCAATATCTCAATTACTAATTAGTAAAGTTAATTATGTCTAATACCTAATTTTTCTAAAGAACTAACACAAGATGCTGACATGGCAAAGATCATACAGCAACAAACAAAAACCTCACCACATAGGAGTCAAGCTCCCACCTTTATGTAATGACACTGACAATCTGACTGATACAATTACTGGTGATTTTTTTTTTTTTTTTTTTTTTTTTGGCATATCAATCACCCAATTGGCGATTTCAAGAAGCAAAAGCAGAAGATATTCTCAATAAATTCAGGCAAATAAACAGCCAGTAGAAGATCCAATAGTAGCGGTGGCTCCTCTCACTCGTATGTCTACGTGTTATTTGCTTCTTCTCCACCAATCACACACCAACAACCAATCATTACTATTACTACAAACAGATATATTTATTTCTTTATATTTTGTTCTTCCCATCTTTTAAAAAGGAATTTTCACAGACAACAACCCACAAGGTCATGGACTTCACTTCCCCTTCCATTGGCTTCATCTTCATCTTGGCCTTCATCATATCCATCCCGAGTTCACTTTCCGTACCGTTCATTGTACTCCATGGTAATTTCCTCGTCTCTGTTTCATGGTTGTCAGCTTTTCTTTTTTCTTTCTATTTAAAGGATGTGTATTTTGTTTGATGAATCTGTTTTTGCATCTGGGTTATTGATAATTTTTCTGGGTTTTGGTTGTTATTATTTTCTGGATATGATGATTATCCAAGTGTTGACTAGTTGGTTGTTGAAATATGGTTTATTTAGAAAAGATTTTAAGAACTAATGGGAACTTGATTATTATCATGTTATTAAAGATGTTCATGTAGACACTACTATCCAAAATGTCATTATGTCCATGTATGGATTTAATCTTAGTGTGGAAGAAAATTCCTGAAGCGAGTGATCTCCAGTGAATTTTATTTTCTGCAACTCAAATTTTATGTGCTTTTATAGAAACAGAAATCTTGCATATCCATAATTGTCTTAACTAGTTAACCCGTTACGACGATTACAGATCAAAGAATTAAGACCCTGTATATCAACTTACCTTTTCCACTTAAGAGTATAATGACAGAAGTTTGTCCTATGTTGTATCCTCTCTGCAGCAGTGTTAAAGGAACATACTTGAGAAAAGAGAGCAAACGTATGTTGCTTTCTGTGTCTTTACTGTTTTTGACTTAGCAGTAGAGTAAACCAAATAGGTCATCATTTTTTAAAATCATCAGCAAGAAAAAAACTGAAATTAAGAAGGTTGATACTGTGGCAATATGATTTCAGTTCTGAAAGTGTTACCATTTGGATTATGAACTCCATCCCTTATAATTACTGCATGATATTGTAGTACTTCTTTTGGCCTCGTTTTATATGTTTGGCTAGTATTTCATCCTGTTCTCTTATCATTATTGCTCATTCTACTCGTATGATCTTTCTCTACTCCAGTCCTAATGATTCATCGTGGCAGGCATTGGAGATCAGTGCTCTAATCGAGGAGTTAAACAGTTTACAGAGGAACTGAGGAACTTTTCTGCTACTGAAGGATATTGCATGTATGGTGCAGTTTTTTTTTTTTCTCCCAAATATGTTTGTTTTTTGCCACTCATATATGTAATCCTGCTAGAGATAATTGCTAACAGTTCATTCATGACATTGCTTTTAACAACTCTTATATTGTTTCCTGATTCAAATTCTGATTATAAGTTTTATGTTGACATATGTTGTTGCCCACTTGAGTTTTATAGAACAAGATGATAAAATATGGCTTCATTGTTTTTAAAGATTCTTGGTAGTATGCCAACCGAGAAGTCCACCCTTATAGTTGTTTACACGTTTTTTTTTTTAATGTTTTAGGAGCATCTTTGTGTTTTTCCATGTGTAACGAGATTGCTTGCCTTTGCCTTCCTGCAGAGAAGTTGGGGATGGAACATGGGATTCCTGGTTTCTGCCTCTTGAGGAACAGGTTAAAACTAAAAACTGGAAAAACAAGACTTGTCATCTTAGACGTAATTTTTATGTTCACTTGTAATTTGACTTTTTGTACGTGTTTGCAGACCAGAATTGTTTGTGACAAGGTGATAATGCTCTCTACATTAGTATATATTGCTGGTCTGGCTTTTGAAGTTTTTGTTACCGTTGACTGTGTTCCCTACTACAACTACAGGTAAAAGAAATGGAAGAACTGAGACAAGGTTACAACATTGTTGGTCTCTCCCAGGTATTATCATGATTGGATCTTTCCATTTGGCACCTATATCTGTAATACAGTATGCTCCAAGTTGTTTATTGATTTACATTGGGGCACAAACCTTTAAATTCAATTCTTTTTCTTAAAATGTGTTTGCTTATGAGTCGGAATAACTGGCGAGACTTTCTGAGTAGAAGTAATTTCATAAGTAGAAGTAAGCTATTTTTTAGTTTCCATCTCAACTAATGATGTCGCTCATGTTTCTTTTAACAGATGAAGTGAGCATATCATGTTCAAATTTTACATCTAGTTGTTGTCTTCTTAGTGTGTGTGTGTGTGTGTGTTTGAAACAAGGCTGTATTTCCTTATTAAGTGTTCTTTAGCAGGGTACAAATGATGTATTTTCCTTTGTGCTTGCCCTAATACCTAATAAAAATGGCCTCGCAGATTTGTGAAGGCCTCTCTTGCCTTAAGTCATGCAGCCTCGCACGTTCTCAGAAAAAAGTGATCATTTGATTTATGTCCCATGAAAGGGTTTTTCAAGTTTGTCATACTTATGTAGCATATAAGATAATGGAACTGATGCCTAATATTCATGGCCGCACACATACTCATGAATAAAATGGTGATTCTGGGAATCAAGTCCCCAGAACCAGAATAGCTTCTTGAATTTCTTCCTCATCGGTTACTCTTAGTAATATATGTCATTAAGTCTTTTCTTGCCTCATCCACCTAATTTTCTTCCTTGTTCCATTGCTTATTTGTGATTGTGTATCAATGGTTCTCTTAGCACGTTGACTTTGAATCAAATAACTCCTTACATGTGCTATTAATCACCATCCTCACCCAACTGATTCTTGGTTTGCAGAACTATATATATATTCTGTAGTATTTTTCATTCTTCTGGGCGCTGGGCATATTGTCGCTTTATGAATTTTCATTTCTTTAGCTGAACGAACAGAAACAAATATCTTTCAAGCCTTTGACTTGTGGCTTTGGTTGTTTAGGCGGGATGATCTGTTGTTACTTTCTTTTCTTTTCTTTTTCCGGTTTTTGAATTTTCTCATGTTGTTGGTTTTCATGTTAGACTGTTTTCTCAATCCCCAATGCTTATGAGTGAATTAGTTTATTATAGCTTACTAACATAAATATGTTGTGTGTATACATATGAGTTTTGAATGATGTTCAAATAATTGCAATCAATTGATTCTTTCTCATACCTTTTCTTTCTTTTCTAAATTTAACAGGGTAATTTGATTGGCCGAGGTGTTGTAGAATTTTGCATCGATGGACCTCCTGTAAGATTCAGTTTAGTAAATTCTGATATTTCCAAGTTTTTTCATCCGTCTTTCAACCAACTACATCAGTAGTTATTATATTTATAATTAAACTTCAGTTATCATACACATATTGAGCTAAGCTGTCTATAACATGTTTGAAATGTATAACAAATGGCGTTTTAAGTTCTTTATGATTTTCTTATACCATTGTAGCTCAAAAAGAATTTAAAACTACTAGTTTAGTTGTGTGCGTTAGCCATGCCAAGTTCATTAGTCGATGCGTTCAGCTATGGAATCGTGTACTACTCTGTACTCCTTATGTTATCCATATAAAATACAGTTCCTTTGGTAGTAAATAAGAGCAAGCACATTTTTGTATGGTCTTAGTCTATAGGCAAATGCTCCATTAGATTTACAGGTCTTTCTCCGTATCCTTGTTTGTTTTTTCTTAATGCACACTTTTTGCATAAGTGGTTGTTTTATTTCCTCACGTCTGTGGACTTTACCAATATCAAAAAATTTTGCCTTTTCAATTATTGAAACAGGTTAAGAATTTTATCTCTTTGGGAGGACCTCATGCGGGTACTGCTTCGGTGCCTCTTTGTGGTGTAAGTATCATACTATTATCTTGGAATTTTGATCAGTCCTAATACAAATGCTTTTGTCACACTGAGATTGCTTCTGGTTAGGAGAGTACATATAAACCACCATTGGACTGACGTGCAGTGCAGAATCCATATTCTTACAAACTACACCATAGTATGGTATATGAGCTTGATGTTGCCTCTTCCCAATAGCCTGGGCCTTTGGGAGAAGCTTGGGGTTGTTAAATGTAGTTTGTAAATTTTAGGTACAATTGACACATATTTGGGGAAATTTATGCTTTTATACAATAGTGGATTAGCACTTTCTAAGTACTTTGTCGCAAATGGCTGCAGCAAGTATCATTTCCTACATCGTTCATTCAATCACAGAAGATAAGAATAGTTTGAAAACATGTTGTATCTTAAGAGTGGAATTTTCAATGCAAAGATCCCATTGTTCTGGTTTTCCACCTAATTGTCAGAATGTAGATAACTATCACACATAAGAAACCTCTAACACTAAGGTTTAGTTAAAAATACTGTGTGACCTCCTTTGAGATATGTTGATATTGCTCAACAGCTTTTGTGTTTGCTTTTGTCCCTCTGCAGTCTGGTATATTTTGCATTATTGCAAACAAGCTACTGAAATCAGAGATCTATTCTGACTATGTCCAAGTATGCATCTATTTCTGCCAATTCTTTCTTTTTGTCTCCATCCTGGTGTCAACTTTCAATATCCTAGGTATATTTCTGATGAGGCCTGACCATTTGAACCGATTCTGGAATTGCAGGCTCACTTGGCTCCCAGCGGTTATCTTAAATTACCAAATGTGAGTGGCTAAAAGTAAAGCACTAGAGACATTTTAATGAGGCTTTTACTGCATATTGTTATGTTATACGTATATACAAATAACCTTGTTCGCTGAAATTAATAGCCTGCTTTTGTTTTCCTTTTCAAGTTTTGGCTTATAGTTTAATTTCAAAATGTTGTTTGTGTTTTCTGGGATACTTGGGATAAACTTGGGATAAATTTCATTTCATGAAGTAGTTTTCATGCTCTCAAGTGTCCATTTATGCTACAACAAAAGCCATATATGCCACTTGTAATTTTTCACCTAAGATTAAATCTCTGTTTGCTTAACAATAGCTGTAAACCTAAGCATCCAGATCAACAATTTCTTCACAGGCAATGGCTGACTATTTAGAAAAATGTAAGTTTCTTCCAATGCTCAACAATGAACGACCGGATGGGAAAAACTCCACTCTCAAGGAAAGGTTTAGTAGCTTAGAGAACCTGGTGCTTATCATGGTAAGTTGTAAAATACATATTTCTCAGCACAACATTTCTTCAATCTCTTTCTAGATTCCTCAGAAGTATATAATAGCCAAGTAAGCATACTCATTTTTGTCCATGTTAATTTTGTATTTCTGCAGTTTGAGCATGACACTGTTTTGATACCTAAGGAGACCTCATGGTTTGGTTATTACCAAGATGATACCTTCAAATCAATTTTAAGTCCACGACAGGTTATTCCATAATGCTAATACTATCATTGTTAAACTGAGTATTTATTTACATATTAATGTTTGCTAAAATCGAGTAGCCTTGCTGATGATTTAGTTACTTATTTCTTTTTGCCACTTAACAGTAAAGTCAAGTGGGATGCATTACAAGATTTGCTTTTATGCCTTAAGCACGAACGTCATCTTAGCTTTCGCTTATTTTTATGCAGACCAATCTCTATAAGGAGGACTGGATCGGTTTGAGAGCCTTGGATGAAGCTGGAAGGGTCAAGTACATCAGTGTTCCAGGAGGTCATCTCGGAATCTCCACGAGCGACATGAAGAAGCATGTGGTACCTTACTTGAACAGTTCAGCATCAACAGAGATTGGAAAAAAGGAAGGTAATGATCCGAGAATGAGTGGAGTTCAACATGGAATGCCTCTTTTGGATGAGAAAGCATCAACTGAACTTGTTCTAGAAGGATCATCATCATACAGATGGCCCTTACCAGTCAAGACTTTGTTCAGTGAACTTCTTGGGCTAACAGAAGACGAGTCACTGCCTTAGCCTTGACTAAAGATTAATTATTTGGTGAACTCAAACAATAAACTCAAAAATTAAGCTATATGTACAGTAATTGAAATTTATTCCTTGCCTGTCACTGAAATGGTTATACTATCTCTGTAAATAAAATTGCTTGCGATTGTTACCACAACATACATCATTTCACGTTCTGCATGTTTGGTGTTTTTGAGAAAACAAGGGAGCCATGGTATCTCAAATTTATCTTTTGAACCAAGTCCACCAGAACTCTGAAAATCTGTTCATGATGTAATTACCGACAGTTGGTTCGTAATTCGGTTTTTCTTTCTTTTCTTTTTAGTTTTTGTGTTTTACCTTTTTTCTTCCCAGATTTTACTGACCGGATGATGCGACACTGGAAAGGTTAAATTTATTTTAGTTTGAGCTCACTCTTAAATTCATCTATTTCTAACGAATGTTGAGGATGTGTACTACTAATTATCATTTGGTGTACAAATTTGATGAGTGCATTATTTTGCTTATTCGGAGATGACACATGTTGAGGATGTGTACTACTAATTATCATTTGGTGTACAAATTTGATGATCGCATTATTTTGCTTATTTGGAGATGGCATCTGTCGCTACATCCAAATGTTCAGACCATCTGTGGACAGAGGAGAAAGAGCGGCTCATTGAATATACTTTCTCACAATTTTTTTATAGGCTCGCTCCCTCTTTTTCCAAAAATTCATGCACTTCCTTTTTTACGCCCCCATAATGTTAATTGTTTATGCTGATCAAGAAAGTAGCTGATGTTTTATCCATTATGGCCAGTAGAAGTTGTTGGTGATCCCCAAGACCCTGATAACGACTCATTTGTTTTCTGTACACTCCGCTTGAAAGAAGTAACTGAAAACCATGTACACATTTAGAATATACTGATTTGTAATAGAATAAATTTGCAAACCAAATTGCAAAACCAAGTTGGTGGTGATCCCCAAGACCATTTTCCATATGCACAGAAACTTTTCTTGATGAGCGATTTGTGGCCACACCTGTTGTTCTTTCCTAGGTTCTTTCCTACCATCTCACTCAATAATCACTAAATTATATATACTCCATATATAACCACTGCACTTTATATGCATCATTACCATAATGCTCAACTTTCTTTCATTTCGACTCAAGATAAAGTAGCTTACTCAATTTACAGGAGGAAAAACACAGTTTAGTGCTGCCTAATGTAACATTATTTTCCATTTTCTGTACGAGAAAGAAAGTATAAAAGAACGCTTAGCAAACATCTTATATGCATTCTTCTTAGGTTTTCCTTAGTAGACTTGTATGTCCACACTAATGCTTCCCATATGATCAGCCCTCATCGAGCAGCTGCTTTCCCTGCCAAAGTTCTCTCCTGAAATCTTCTGGTGGGCACGGCAGCGGAGCCAGAGACATGAGATTCTTTCCAGAGCTGCCTGACCAGCTACTCGAACCCGATAGACAACACTTAAGTCTGCCCATATCTCACTTCCCACAGCACCTGATTGGTGATTTGCATCATATCCTTCAAGATCTGATTCAGTTATCACTACTACAGAGCCTTCGTCGAATGGAACTAGATCCTGTGAGGAAACAGACTGCAGGGATCGAATCATTAGATTGGTCATGTGGCTGTAAACAACAGCTCTCTTCACCATTATATAGTAGTATTCCTGTACAGCCTGCAAAGCAACCGTCAAAGAAAAGCTCAGGAAAAGAGTACAAGTCAAATTGAAGGGTAGAGTTAGATCATGCCACAGACAAACAAAAATCTAGTTTAACAAATTTTAAGCAAACTGATCCACAACATACAATCTCCCAAGATGGATTACGAAGAAGCTACTAAGACATCTTTAAGCATCAGTTTATACACAATGATCTTAATGTGGAGAAAGTGATACTACAATGTTAAATGAAACAGAAAAGAAGGTATATCTCCATTCACACCCAATGTTTTGCTCAATACACCAAAATGTAAAAAACCATTTCCACCCAAAATTTGCCCTTGTCAAAGTTCAGAGAGGGAAGGGGCAAAAAAGGGGGGAAAATATGTACTTTTCTCAAAGAATAAAATTTTCAAATGGTTAAATAGGATTCATAATCTGTACAATAATTTTGCAAATTTGTTAAGCAACAATGTGGAGTTCAATTAGAATCACCTAAAAAAACACCAAAATTCCCACAAAAAAGGAAAATGAACAAAACTTCCAGAGTTTCAAACACGAAATAGCAGGACCAGCCAAACAGCAGGGAGAATGAACCCGCGGTGTCATTCCAAATCACATTGAGTTGTGTAAGTTACCTGCAACTGAGAAGGGGCTAAAAGCACCCTTGGACGAATTGACTTCAGATATTCATAGGCAGAATCAGGTGTCATCTGCTTGTGATGAACCTATATAAAGACAAAAGATCAGAAAAGGTGGCAATCTTCAAGTAATTTGTTATTTTCAGAGTTCAGTACTAACCAGGTAACAGATAACAATGGTCGTACTACGCCCTCGTCCAGCTTTACAGTGAACATATGTTGTCTGTCCACAAGATGCATTTTCTTCATGACAAAAAAGGAAAAATCATATCAACAAATAATAGTCTTCTGGGGAGAAAAAACAACCATACTTTAGAAATTAGAATTGAACATTTAAAGGAAACTAAAAAAGTTTACATCCCAGTAAATACAGGTGGAAATATAATGACTCAACATGACACCCCCTTACTGAAGAAGCAACTGCTTTCAAAAAGCATGACACAGATTTCAACAGAAATATCTCTTCAAGATTCTAAAATTTCGCCCTTTTTTTTTTTTTAAATTTATAAACATGAGCAGTAGATGGTCCAGAATATTCAACAATCCAAATTTAGTTACATTGGAAAAATCCAGAAGGGCAGCGTCACAACACCCTTGCATATCAGTAAGTAACTGGATGAGTGTATCCAGTCACGGACCGAATATCCTAAGTACCTAGAGCTGTGTTATGCTAAATCATGCAATATCAGATGCTAATCAATATAATCAAATCAAGGATATAAAAAAGATTACCATGAATGAAGTCTACAGCACGACATGTATCACTAAGTGATGGTGCAAAGCAGTAATCTCTTGTAGGAATCACCAGATGGTTAATTCCGTGATACTGCCAAAAGTTTAATGGTTAGATTAGAGCCCAAAAATACCGTAAAAACAAAAACAAAATCCAGAAGTTTTATCCAAGTACAGACATGAACAAAGTCAATTTTAATCCAAAGCATTCACAAAATCAATTTTAATCCAGAGCATTCACATATTAATACATACAAAAGTATGGCAAAGCACCAGCTAATCCTGTCAGATGCCTATGGCATTTTGGGAATACTTCTTCTACTGGGAAGCACTTTTGTTAGAAGCACAGCAAAACTTTTACTAAAAAACCAAGTCCTTCCTGAAAATGCACTTGCGAAGCAATTCATGAGGAAGCACATACAGCACTAAAAACTGCTTCTATAAACTAGAAGAACTTGTAACCTTTTCTGCCAAACGTAAAGTTTTACTTAAAAAAACCCAAGTGCTTCCTGAAAATGCACTTGCAAGAACTTCCTGAAGAAGCACATAAAGTACTAAAAATTGGTTCTATAACCTAGAAGCACTTGTAACCTTTTCTGTCAAATGTTTCCAAAAACGCTTTTGGCTATCAGAAAGTGTTTTTAGCACTTATCAAGGCATTTCCACACAGGCCCTAAATATTAAATGAAAACAAAATACAAAAACACTTTGAGCAGCAATAACATTTCATTTAAAAGAAAAATGTATCAGTATATCTCCATAACCAAGCAAAATCTGATAATACAAATCTAGAAAACCACTAACATGATAAAGAGACGTTGGAACCAAAGTCTCATATGGCTCATTAAGTGTGATGACTCCACAAACTCCAACTTCCTTTAAGCGGGGCACATCAGTAGGGAATGGAACTGCACCTAACAATACAAACTGAAAATCGAAGTGTTAGAATTTAAACAAGAAATTGATTCAGATCAAAAAGTCCAATAGTTCAAGCACATAAACTCTGATGTAAAGCTACACAAACTTTAACCTGACAAGTCTAAGGAATAGCAAAACCCACAATAATCAACAGAGAACCGAATCAGGCACATAAACACACATAACAAGGCCACATGTAGAATAAACAAAAACAAATTTCTTTCATTTAAATATAATCAGCTGCATCTCATTTACATCTACAATTAACAAAGATAAAAACAAAACCAAAACAAAAATCGCATATTAAATCATAGCTGCAGAAAAAGGATAAACACCCACATTTATAAAATAAATAAATAAATAAGCTTGATAAAATGATATTTGTACTACACAAACGAGCTTGATAAAATGATATTTGTACCTCATCGACCTTGTCCCACCACCGAAACTCGGCCTGAAGCTTATTCCTGATGACATTGTAAAGCAGAGTCGGGTAAAACAGCGCACGAGCCCCTGCGCCGATCAAAACCCGTTTAGCATCCGAACCAACGATGCTTCTGCTACCAAAATCGTTATTTCCAGGGCATGAATTCCCTTCTTCCACACCTCCAACTTCCCCTACTTTCAATTCCTCAATATACATAGCCTCGATTGAAACCCGAAACAAAATCAATCACAATTACAACACAAATTTAACAGAAAATCTTAAATTTTTCACAATATTTACATACAAAGGACCATTTACTCAAAAAGCGCCATAATTAAAAAAAAACCCTAACTTGTTTATTCCTCTATTTACCAAACAAAATCACAAGCGAGAAGACCTATAGTTTCTACGACAGTGAGATGAACAAAGGATCGGGAGAAAATTTGAATTGGAAATAGTGGAAATAAAAACCATGGGAGAAATCGCGACCATAATTTGCGAAAAAAGGGGACGATCGGAAAATGAGAAAGACCAGGGTGCGATCGATCGAGGATGGATGAAATTTTTGGGATCAATTGGGAATCGGGAACTGGTGAGAATATAAGGAAACCCTAACCCTAGAAAACAAGAATTTGCTTGAATCAGAGGATAGGCTGAGGTTATACTCCACCTTTTGCTCAACAAACTCTGAAAGCGGACGGAAGGAGAGAGAGAGAGAGAGAGAGAGAGAGAGAGAGAATTAAAATAGAGCGTCGAAGACTCGACTCGAAGGGG